CAAAAGCTTTTTTTCTTTTTCGCGCATTTGCAATTTTTTGTTGTACTCAATGCAAGGAGAGGCCTAAGAAAATGCTGAAAGAATTTTTCAATCGAAATACAAATGAAATTATAATGTAAATATATGTAAGTGTGTGTGTGTGTGTGTGTGGGTTTCCCGTCTTAAGTGAGTTTTCGTTCATTAGCAGCAGAGTCAAAGCCAAGCAAATAACAACAACAGCAGCGGCGGGAAAACAAGAAGGAAAAGGGGAAGAAGGAGCAACAACAAAAAAGAGAAAGAAAAGCCGTTGCCACTTCAAAAGCAAATGCAAGGGAAAAACTGCCGTCCGCCGAGTGATGGGCGGAAGATTACAGTAGAAGAAGATCCGCCACCCACCCACTCAGCAGCCACTCCGCAGATACCCAACAAAGACAGCAGGCAACAAAGGGAGGGAAATGAGAAGGAGAAGGCGCCCCCAGGGAGGAGGAGTAGGTGGAGGTGGAGGTGGAGGCAGAGGCAGAATCAGAATCTGCGCTTGACTTTGACTTCAACTTCAACGCCTTCGAAATTGCCAGGCCACAGGACCAGGGACCAGGACTGACTGCCAAAGGAGTTCAACATGCTGCATGGGCAGGAGGCAGGAGGCTGAGCCTGGCGGGGACTGCATTGTTATGTAAGCTGGCAAAACTTATACGCGACTTACTGTTCCATAAACATTTGTGACGACAAGGACAAGGACGAGAACGAAGCAACAGCGAGCAGAAGCCTGGGCTCTGCGGCCCGTGGCCCGCGGCCTTTTTCACATGCGATTTCCTTATTGTTGCCATTATGTGATTTTCTGTGGGGTGTGGCGAAGGCTGAGGGCGGGGCCGGATTTAGGGTAAATGGAGAAACTGCATTCACGACCACTCCCCCAGCACCCCAATGGCAAAAACCCATCCAAGAGGTCCCTCGTGAACTTCCGCCAGGAAGGCATCGAAGAAAGCCACTTCCGACTGCCTCTCTCTCTCTCTCTCTCTTTGTGCCTCTCTGCCATTGTGCCCTCAAAAGTGCAAACGGAAACGGGAGTGGGGAAAGGGCATTGTTGGGTGCCCGTGCCCCCTGCTGCAACTTTAAAGAGTGCCCCAACCGGTGGCATTGTTGTCGCTGCTGCCGCTGCCATTTTTATTAGCCACAATCAATCCGCTTAAGCAGAGCGAGGGAGAGCGTGAGAGGTAAAGAGAGACAAAGCTAAAGAGTGCGAGAAACGAAAGAGAAAGGATAACGGGGAAGGATAACAGCAGCCTGTTGATTACCCTGGTGTCATCGTCTGCCTCCGACACAAAGACATCTCCCGCACCCAACAATGGGACGGCGGAAAGCTCTCTCTCCTCTCCCTCGCGCTACATCTGTCGCTGTAAAAAAGGATGGAAAAAATCGGATACTACAATAATCGAAAGATGTTGGCCGTAATCTATAATCTGAGTAGCGGTGCAGCCGCTTCTTGCCTTCAATCCATAGGCAGAAAACGAGTCAAAGGGCAGATTCTGGGATTCTCTGGCTTAAAACACATGCGACGATCAATCCCCTTTTAAGGGTACATAAGCGTGGATTTTTGTATCCTCTCTTCTCTCTCTCTCTCTCTCTCTCCCCTGTATCGCCCTCCTGCTGTCATGACCATTCATTTAACACCTTTCTCTGCACTGCACTCTGCTCCCTTTTGCTCATCTCCGCCTTCTGCTCTCCCCTCCTATCCTGTTCCGTGTTAAGCGGATGGGCATTGGCGTATTGAACACCAAATGGCCATTATGTTCCACAGCCGACGAGGAGCCACTTGATTTGTATTGAAGCTTGGGGCGTTGTTTAGGGGTGTGGGGCTGGCGGTAGGGGGTTGGAGGTGATTCGTGATTTACATGTGTTAAGCCACTTGCCACGCCCCAAAGCGAGAACCAACCCACACGCACACGCACACGCACACACACACACCGAGCAGACAGACGCGTAAACATTGAAACTGAAATGAGAGTGAATTGTGCCCCTTGGATCAAGATTAATTGAGTGGTGAATAGACTGCGGGGAGTGGTAGAGTGGCACAGGGAGTGAGGGATTTATTTGTACAGTGGGAAGGGGCTGAGAGGCAGCACAATTAGCGGAGGGAAAATCCTCTTTTTTGTTGGTGGCTTATATCGCATGTATTTGCCCCCGCCCAGCCCACACTCCATATGGAGGTACATTTATCTATATATCAAAATCCCACCTTACCCGCCCACCCCCTACCCTAGACCCTTTCAGTTGCGTTTCGTTTCCAGCATTTATGTTTGCTGTTTGCATGCATTTAGCTTCGTTAGCCTGAGCCGCTTTTCCGTGCGAGCCCGCTTTTCCGTATGATTTTCCACTTGCCATTTGCCAGTTGGCAGACTTTTCCTTATCCATGAGAGTGGGTGTGTGTTTGTGTGGCTGTGGGCGCTGTCTGTGTGTTTAATTGTCGCATTGCGACCAAACGGCAGGGCAGACTCTCTCGCAGCCCCCACACAACGTGCCCCTGCAACCGCGTTGCAGGCCATTTTTCAAAGTGTATACCTATGTGTGTGTGTGTAAGTGTGCCTGTGTGTGTGTGTGCAAAACGTAAATCGCCAAAAATTGTCCCAACAACCCATCGTTCTGTGTGTCGTCGGCTTTCAATGAAAATTTCAGCGAACATTTTTGCTCCTCTTTCGAAAGTAAGATTCGCGAATCTCGCACAGATGACACTGGGCGGCTACCCTGTAATAATTGGACAAAACAATGGGAAGCAGCCCACCCTGCCCCAGCGGATACCCTCGGCGCATGGCAGCGGCTTAAAAGTTGGCCAACAAAACAAATACAAGAACTAAAAATAAATGCAACGAAAAGGGATGAGCACAAATGCTTTGCCCGTTGCTTGCTCGCTGATAAAAATTGCATCCCTTTTATGCATGGGTGTGTAGCCTGCCGCTCCTGCTCGAGAAAATATGGCGCAATAAAGTTTTGCTCTCGCGACATGAGCGCATTTTTGAAGGCTCCTGTTGAGTATCCTGTGTGTGTGTGTGTGCCGCTCCATATGCAGATTCCTGGAGCGAAAGACGGAGAAGGCAGGAGAAACACGAAGGAGAAAGCCAGGGCACGGCACACATTGCGCTGCCTGTCGCTGCCAAAATTTTTAATTTCAAAATGCGCCCGAAGGCTTCTCTCCTCCATCGATGCGCTGCCTCACGGCCTCCCCCCGCTAACCATCCTCACCGTATGGCTGCTGAAAAGTTTCCTCTGCCTGGCAAACACTTGCCTCACTTTGTGCATGTGGACCTGCGGATTTCCACACTTCATAAACCTATCGATGCCTGCCAGTGGAGAAATAATTTCCCTTCCAGAGAAAAGTGGAAAAATGGCCGTAGGCTTTGTGCTTTTCTAACCATGCATTTTCTCAGGCATTCCCAAGGCAAAGACAAACCAAGGAAGGTTGCAAGATAAGGATGTTTTCTTATATTTTCACAATTCGCTAGCATATTGGTGGATATGTGGAGCATCCATTGACCATCCACCAATCCTATACCGAGTGCTGGTGGACAAGATTCTGGTCACTTTCCTGTTCCTTTTTCTGTCCTTTCTTCCATGTGAATGTGAATAAAATTCTTGAAATTATTCAATATTAATATGTTGAAAAGATTTACATCTGAGTTCAAAGAACCTTCCCTAAAGACGGGACAGCGGGGGCAAAAGCAATCAGCTAGCTCCTCTAGAGAGCTGTAGTTGGGGGAAAGCGATTACCCGGGTAGACCTGGTTACCGGTATAATTCTTTTTGTATCAACAATGATGCCTACACGTCTGCGTCTTCCGCTTGACACGAAAACAAAGCTCAAGTACGCCAAGGACTTGGAAGAGGATTACCTCAATGCCCTGCCGCTGCCTCCATCTGCCACCTGCTGTTGTCTGTCGACATCTTGGGCTCTATCTCTCTCTGTTTGTTTCAGGCATTAGACACAGGGGTTTATTCTCCCTCCCTTCTGGCAGCTTTGTGGCTAATAAAAGCCACAAATAATCACGCATTTATTACTTGTATGCTCCACATATGGGTAAGCCTCTGCATTCGCCACCGGATCCGCAGGATTCCTCACCATTTTGTCCTGAATTTGATCATCCCTAATATTATTATTACAACAACTACTACCAGCCCCAGGTCCACCCCACACAATTCGTACACAGATTTCCCCAAGCTTTCGCTCTCTCCCCTCTGCAGCTGGCCGTCTGTCCCTTCCGGCTTAGGGTCTCGCCTTCGATTTTTTGCTTGGCGTCCCAGAGGCTTGCTTGCGGTCTGGTCTGCCGCCTAACAAGGTAATAGCTAGGTAATGCCCTTAAGTCGATAATTAGGGGCTGTGCGTTGGAGTGCAAGTATCTGCGGTCGACCACCAAAGGGTTTCCCAATTGGGGTGGATGCTGCAGCAGGGGAAAGCAGCCGAAGTGTGAGATATTCCCAATGAAGCACTGTACATCGACAAGCCCCAGATTGATTTGTGATTCTTCTAACATTTGGTTGAGTAGATAGCAATCCAGCGTTTTGTTTTTTAATGATTAAATACAAAAACCTACTTGATTTTGTGCAGACAGACACACTTGTATAAAAACAAGATCATACTCCCTGAAGTTCTTCCAAGAAATAATTCCTCTTTGTGGTCTCTAAAATGAACCCGAAATGGGAAATGTGCAAAGTTATTCGTAAGGGAAAAGAATGAGGAACGGAAAAAGGGCAATGAAAAGAAAAGGAAACTCTGCCCGCTTAAGAGCCAATTCCTAAACCGATAAACTTGTCGATAGCTCCGGCAATCGAAGGCAATTTAAATTTGATTAATACCAGACCCGTATCCCGTATCCCGTAAGCCGTAAGCCGTAAGCCGTAAGCCTTATGCCGCATACCGTGTTCCGTGTCCGGCTCTCTGCAGCAGATTAAGTATCTCCCTAGTATTATTATTATTACTTTTATTATTCACCCCCGGCTTTCTCTCACTTTGTTCTTCTCTCTGTCTTGCAGGGCACTCAGCATCGCAGCACAGTCCGGTGGATTCCACGTGGGCCACTGCCACAGCCACTGGAGCCTGGCCACTGGCAAAGGTGAGTGGAAGACATTTTAAATATGCTGGGGGATACACAGATACGGATACACAGATGCCGTCAGACACTCATCTGAGACAGCTGTCTTGGCATTTTAAGAAAGCAGACCAGACCGGACCGGTCTGCATCCTCCCTAGCATAACATAAGCAATCGACCCAAAAAGTTGGTCAATTGGCAATAAAATCAAAAGCGAAAAAAAGTTCAAGAGCAACGTCAGAGTCTGGGGGCTGGGCGGTTGGGGCAAAGTTCTTCGACAAAGTCCAAGCGTGACTGGCATTGGAAAATCGAGAAAAAGGAGAGGCGGCGGTTCGCTACGGTCCGGTCCGTCAGCAGAAGTCTGTGGAGTTGGTTCATAAAACGCTTTGTACGCTCAAACAGACACAGTAATTGGCGATACACGGACCCCTCCGCCCTCTCTCCACACACACACACACACACACACACACACACCCATATGCTGTGGTATCCCTGGCCGAGTGGTGAGCGTCCGTGTCCGAGTCTCGGGTCCTGTGATACACTTTGTTTTACGTGGGGCAGTACAACAAAAATATTGGGATAATATTTAGCCACGTCGAATTATGTCTATGCTTTGATACATGACAGATGCCAGCATAGCTATGGGCTACAGGTATTTAAAGAAGTTTCTAGGTCCAGAAAGTGCTCAAAAGGTGCGGAAGATGTTCCCTAGCAAAAGTGCAATCATTTATGGGATATCTTTGGGGAATCTTTATATTTATTATAGTTACATAGTGAACTCTGTTTTGGTGCTCAGTCCCCATGGAAGGATTATAAGTTTATGAAAACAAAGCAAATAAAATTGAATAAAGCATTAGGCAATGTTCGTGGTGGCACCTTAAAGTATTTCTCGCATAATTGATGGCCATCATTGCTCGGTGCCTGACTAAAGTATCAACTTTGTTTTGAATTCCTTTAGCTGTAAGCAGATCATTTTTAAAGACCAATTGTGTGTCCAATTTGATGGGAAAGTCGTGTATACTCCACTTGGGCTAAGGGTGCGTAGAAAACTTTTGGCGGCGACGACCGACCTTTCATAAACTTTGAGTGTTTCTGTTTCTGGCATGCGCTTATTCTCCCAATACTCTCGCCTTAGTCTTGCTTGTATATTTATTTCTCGTTTTTTTTCTGCTTGCTTTTTCCTGCCCCATATTTATTTGTATTTCGGCTTTCGTCCCGCTTTGTTCGTCCTTTTTCCTGTCGTATGCGCTTCTCTTTTCTGTACTTTCTGCTGTGTTGTGCTTCTTTCTGTTTCTTTATTGAGTGGCCAGCCCCAGCCCCCATCTCAACACTCCTCTCCCCTCCACAACAGTGGTCTCCAATGTCTGTCTGACTGTGTTCTCTGTGTGCTGGAATTTTAGTGAAAAATTATTTATTATAAAATCTACCAACGAAATTATGAGCCAAATTTCCGTTTCTCTTTTTTTTTGGCTTCTGTGCGAAATTTATTTTCCTCCCCCAAAAACAGCAAGAGAAAGAGCAGCAGCAGCAGCAGCAGGATAAAGGATAAAAGGAGGTGCAAGTGCAAGTGCAGGTCGGAATTGCATTTCAATGCAATAAGCAAGTTTATTCCTTTGCCAGATACCAGACACGAGCTTCAGCTTCTTTCTGCCAGCTATGCATCTGCAGAGAAAATATTCTCGTACTTGAAATTCTGGCTTCGTTAGAAGAGCCTGGGAGCATCCTCTTTGAGAGTCCGCTTGTCCTGCCATCTGAATTGCATTTTACAGCCATAATCCAATGCAAGCCTAGTAAAGTGCCACTTCCTCTGCTGTGCACTTTGGAATCTGGGAAATTATTGGAACAGCTACAGCTACAGCTACAGCCTTTGCGTCTGGCAGCCATGGATTTAGCTAGGCCACCTGTTGTTAGGCAAAGGAATTACTGAAGGAAAGAAAAAGGAGCAGCAATAGGAGTAGGCACATATGTGTTCCCAGTTGTAGAAGGCTTGTGGAGTATGATTTTGATTTTCCTCATTAAACGCTCATTCATTGAGCATCTGTAGGGGCATCACATATGAATAGCATCGATTCCATAAATGAATCTGTGATTTCAGGACTCGCTGCTTCTGCAGCATTTAAAGAATTTGCGTGGCATTAATACCCATCACCATTCTTGTGTTCATGGCCGTGTACGATTTATGTATGGACACGGTACGCTACACAGTCATCTACAAATGTTTTCCGACACGTGTGACTCGGCGAAATCAAATTTAATTTCGATTTATTACAAGAGAAAACAAATTAACGCTCGGGCGGGCATTCGGGCGGAATAAAAAATAACAAAAAGGGATTAAATGTAATTGTAAATGCCCGTGTGTGGCCAAGTGTCCAACCACCAGAATATTGATTAATTATGGTATACTTGCGCAACTCACCATGCCACAAAGTGTGGCAGGGTGTGGATGTTGTGTGTTCTGTGTTGTGTGGAAGAGGTGCCAGAGTGAGAGAGTGCATCAGGCTTAATGAATTTGCACTTCATCGAGCGTCACAAAGAAGTAATTACCTAATGCAAAAAGGGGGCAGAGCAGAACGAGTAACCGCAAAATCAAAGTTCCTTTAACGTTGCATCTCCTCTTCCTCTTTTGCGGCCTTGCTTCGTTCCGTGAATGACAGACGGGGAGACAGCCAGAGACACAAACAGAAATCAGAAGGCCAACAGATGAGATGAGATGAGAGAAGATGAGAGAGCTGGATGCTGCATGCTGCCAGAATGCTGACTGGGATGACTGACTGACTGACGACTGGGCAGCACTTGTGGCAATTTCAGTGCTGCTAAGCAGAGGAGAGGCCGACACCAAAGCCAAATGAGTTCAGCGCCCGCAGGCAGCAGCGGCAAGAACGGGCAACGGGTGAGAAGACTGCATTCTGGGCTCTCTCTCTCTCTCTCTCAGCAATGCCTCATGCCACAGCATCTGCTAACGAGTGGCGAGTCGTGCAATGATTGCGGTTACTTGCTGGTTTTCATTTCATTTTTCATGCCACTTCTTTGGCAGAGTTGCAGGAGCAGCACCAGTCCCTGGTAAGGTGTTGGCTTGAGCTGACTGCGGTCTCCACTGCCTCTCCTGCCACAATGTCCCTCCTGTGTTGCTTGTTAAGCACTTTAAACAATGTGGCCTCCACCAGGAGGATTGCATCCCAGCCAGCTCCTCCTTCGCCTCTTCCACTGCTGGGTGATGGTCGTCTTGTTAAATTTAATTTTGCCACTTGTTTGACCAATGACAGAGCACAAAACGAATCCGGACAGCTAGCCCAAGAATGGAATGATGCACCCTCTGGAACGGACAATTTGTCAAATGAATTCCGAGTCATTTTGGAAAATTGCATAAGCAGAGCGACGACTCAACGCTGGGACGGGGCAGAATAGAGGACTCGACACTTGACATGGCACTTGACCCGACCCTGTCGCTCTCCTTCCACCCTACTGCCCGGAATGCAGCAAATATTTTAAATGCATTTTTTACTTTAGATATTACCTGAATGGGAGCAGGAGCAGAAGCAGGAGCAGGAGCAGGAGCAGGGCTGGCTGCCTGACAGGACCGGGGGGTGGGCTGATGGGAACCACTCCCACGCGTTGATTGCACTGCAAATTGCTCTGACACCCCCGCCACGTATTCCCCCCTTTCATTGTTCAACGTTGCAGCCAGCGGAAAATTTAATTTTCCAATTAAATGGCGAAAGTTTTTTGCGTTGTTTGTTTGCAGCGCGTTTCGCTCAAAAGTTTTCGTAGTATTTTTTGGCCATCAAACTGACATTCGGGAATATTACGAAAGCCCCAAAACGCAGCAGCAGAAGCAGCAGCAGCAGCAGCAACAGCGGCGGGCGAGATAAAACACTCTGTACCCCCCTCCCTCCCTCATTCTCTGTCGAACCACCTCGTTACGCCCCTCGGGCCACTAGTGGCGATTGCATTTGTTTTCTGTATATCGGATACACAAACATTTCCAACAAAAAATTCGTACCCGCACATGTGTGTATAAACCAAGGCCCCCACAAAAAAAGGGAAATGGCAAAAAAAGAGTGTTTAAACAAGTGGCAGAGTGTACACAGGGAAGGCAACACGACTGAGCGGATACCCTTGGAGGGTAGTTCTAGGAGCAGAGAAAGAGTCAGGGCAATCGAAGAGCACGGGAATGTCATGAAAGGGATAGATGACAGATAGATCCATTTCACACTGCTATCAAACAGAGATCGTTCGGGGTAAGGATATAAGATTATTATTATACTGCCTTTGATCTAGGTTCCTTTAAGGGACACATTGCAAAAGTATTTTTGGTTGTTGCTCAACACACAGATCGCTCCAAGTAATAGCTCCTTTTTGTAGCTCTTTTAGATAAAGTTTTGCAGCAAAGATCAGCTTTAATATGTTGAGTGTTAAGCCTTAACAATTACAGGGCACTCAATGGCCAATTGCAAGCAAGCAATTGCAAAAACACGGGCGCGAAAAGTTGGTGGTAGCTCATATCCTGATTGCCCCCAGGGAGGCTGCGGATACGGATACCCATACAGGATAGGGGTACGTGCCAGGAGTGGGAGTGGCGCCTCGCTTCACGCTGCACTCGATATATGAAGATATATTTATGTACGAAAGAGATATAAGTACAGGCCATCGATTAATTAACCATCGAGCGGCAGCTCAAATGGAACTTGAGAAGATTGTGGCGGAAAATGTTATTTGTTTATGGGCAAGAAATCTCCAACTGTCCGAAAGTGCTGCTACCATTTCCATGTGGCAATTTCCATCAATAATGCAGCCAGGTGATTCTGAGTGGAGGTGGAAGTGAAAGCGGAAGGCCCTGCCTGTCTTCCTGTCTGTCAGCCATGTGACAGGGCGTCCGTTCGAGTAACCGTGAAAAGTTTTCGACACTTTCCGCGTCGCATCCTAACCGTGAAATTTGTATAAATTGCACTTGACATTTTCTCCGCGCGAATTTTTCAGCTCAACTTTTGCTATAAACTACGCGACTCCCCAGTCCCCGTCTGCG